ACAGTGCCCAAGAGACCGCGAAGACGCCCTAAGAGGCCTCCAAGATGCTTTCCAAGAGGGCCCCACGAGGCCAAAATCATTGATTTTGCATTGGAAAACGCGTATTCTTAGCATCTACGACTTGTCGGTCTTCACAGCGGTGACGACGGTGCAAGAGGCCTCCACGAGAGTCCCAAAACGGTCCAACAGGCTCCAAAGACGTCCCGAGAGGGGGCCAAGACACCCCAAGCGGCCCCCAATGCGACCTAGGAGAGCTCTAAGACGGCCCCAAGGGGAGCTCAAGAGGGGGAGCCCGACCTGAAAATCCGACCCTTCCGCGCCCCCCGCGCAGGGACGGCCACGACCTCGACGGCGACGGCGGCGGCGCCGCCGTCGTCGTCGTCGTCGTCGCCCTTGCCGTTGTCAGCGCCGCCGCCGTCGTCGTTATTATCGTCGCCGCCGTCGTCGTCGTCGTCGCCTCCGCCGTCGTCGCGCTCGTCGTCGCAGGCGCCAGTCGAGGACCGATCAATCGAGGATAGAGGTTCGACGAGGTCTTTCGGTTTTCGGCCCCAGGGGGTCTTTTTGAGCGGACTTTAGTCGATCTGAGAGCAGCGCGAACGCCAAGGACGCGAAGCAGCGCGAGCGCTAAGGACGAGCTCTGTTATGTTTGTTCGAGTCTTCCGTCGACTTTTTTTCGTTCGGACCGTTTCGACGATGTTTGATTCGATTTGTCCTTGACCTCGGCTAGAACCAAAGCGCGCGCGAAACGCGCGCGATGGTTCTAGTTCCATATATATACACACACGGTGGCAATGGTGGCCAGACAAGTAGCTAGCACATATATGCTTTTGCTTCCAGCCACCGCCCTACCTGCGATTGACGGTGCCGCAAAGCAAAAGACGAACAGCTGCAGCTGGAGCTCAGGACTTCGACCCGGGACGGGCCAGGCTGAGACAGTTCCCACAGAAACCCAGCCGTGCCGAGAGGGGAAAACCAGCCGAAGTTCCAGCCTGGGGCGAAAGGATGGAATACTAGCCGCAGACTAGCTGCATCCACGGGTTTCCATTGAAATCCTGAAGCCAAAACGGCTACGGATCAAACTCGGACGAGGGGTGGGGCGAGCAGGAGTAAGACGAGGAGGATGTGGAAAAAAAATGGTGTTTGGATTATGTTGTGGCCTCTCTCTCCCCCCATTTTTCCTCTCCTCTCCCCTCACGGTGGGTTGCAGGGCAGGTGCGGATCGCGAAGGGGGGAGGCAGTCGGCCCGGATATACTGCCCGGGCGGAGCCCTCGAGCGCAGCTCCCGCGTGCCAGCCGCTCCTGGCTTGACCCGTATCGCCCGGGGCCAGGGCGAGGATGAGTCCGCTCCAGAGCGTTCAAAAGTGTTCCGGCCCGCCTCGGACGGAGCCAGCACGAGGATAAATCAATTCAGAACGTCCCAGATCGTTCCGACCCTCCTCGGATGGGGCTGGGACGACGATCGTCGTCTTACCTCCCTCCCTCCCGTCGGTGTCCCCAAACGATGTGGTAACTTCCGGAGCGTTCCGACCCTCTTCGGATGAGGCTGGGACGAAGGTCGTCGTCTGACCTCCCTCCCGTCGGGGGTCCCCAAACGATGTGGTAACCACACCGCGTGGGGAGTCAGTGGCCTGGCATCTCTCGGACGTGTGTATGTTATCTCTGCGAGGACCCTCATACCGGGCCATCTTGCGAGAGAAAATGCACGCACGGAGCCGAAAAGTGTACGGCGAATGGACGTCCGAGCGATGGCGAGGTGGACTCGGGGTCGCCCAGCGGTTCTTGGAATTCGGGTCGTTCTCTCCGAGAACGTCTCGGGAGACAACGGGCCTCCTAGGCCCCAAAACCGTCCCGCGACGGGCCGCGCGGTGAGGCCGTTGGGGGCTCTCGGGTCAGCACGCGGTCCGTCACCACACGGCGTTGGGGTCCCAGTATTGGATCGGCGGCGAGCGAGGAGGGGAAGTGAGAAGGAGCAGCCCTTCTCAGAAGGCGGCGGGACTTCTCTCGGAAGCCCTCGCGCCATCTGAAAAGATGTTGGTGCTTTCGAGGAAGGCGGAGAAACCTTCGCAGAAGGCTGGGGAGCTTCCGAGCCTTTGAGACAGTTTTGGCGCCCAGTGATGCGATCACTGCTCGGGATAAGATCCTGCCACTCGAGAGCGGAGGGGGTAGGAACCCACAAAGTCGATGTCGGCATCGACGCTATTTCCAAATGTCGGTTATCACATGAGTCCGCGCACATTATACGTGTTTGAGGCCACGGCCTCCGCGCCATGCCGGGCTCCCTGAGCGTGTATGACTCTGGCGTTCGCTTCGTTTCGTTTCCCGTTCCGGTACGACGGAAATGAGTACGGAAAGAACGGGGACCCAGAACGTCAGATGTTCCGTTTCGTTGTGAGCAGGATTCGTTGTTGGCGCCGCCGCGGATGCAGTCCGTTTGAGGCAAAACGCCGCTATGCCCAAGAGCGGCCGCAGCTAGTGTTGGACAACATGTTCGCCCATCGTGCCCATTCCTGCCGTGCCCATTTTGGGCGTGCTTTCGTCGCACACAAGGGGGTGGCGCGAGGGGGCGGCCATCTAAGCAGGCCAGAGATGGTGCAACCTATACGCCGCCTTTGTGCGCGCCACCGACTGCCGCAGGGCTCGATCCGATCAATCCTCTCTGATGCCGGATTTGGCCGGCTGGGTCGTGGCCCTCACGTTGCGTTGTTTACGTTTGCATTCCCAACCATCTTGTGGTGTTGGGTCTTCGTTGCTGAAGAGAGAGCACCCCGCGTTCCTTCCTTCCTCTCTTCCTCCTGTCCTCTCCCACCCTCCCTCCTCCCTGCGTTTCCCCCACCCAGTACAGCGCTTCGTAGCCCCATAGGGAGCACCGAAGGCCCAAGTGGTCTTGTCATCCTGTGGTGTTGGGTCCTCGTTTTGAAGAAATTGCGCCCCGCGTCATTCAATCCTTCCTAACTTCATTCCTCCTCCCCCTCCTCCCTCCATCATCACCAGCATCATCATCATCAGCATCATCATCATCATCATCTTCTTCATCATCATCATCATCATCATCATCATCGACATCATCATCATCATCATCATCATCATCATCATCATCGTCATCGTCATCGTCATCGTCATCATCATCATGATCATGATCATGATCACAATCATCATCGTCATCATCATGGGTGTCATCATCATCACAATAATAGTACCACTAGTAATAATAGTACTAGTAATTTTCATCATCATCATCATCATCATCATCATCATCATCCTCATCCTCATCGTCATCGTCATCACCATCACCATCACCGTCATCATCACCATCATCACCATCAGCTTCGGCGCACCTTTCACACGTTTCGTGGCACCCCAGAGAGCTCCACAGAAGGCCCGAGCGGCTGCGTTCGCATGCGCCCACCGCCCTCGTTTCGGCACACCCCTCACACGTTTCGTGGCCCCATCGGCAGCTCCACCGACGAACCCAGTGGCTGCGTTCGCACGCGCCCACCGCACCCATCTCGGCTCACTCCTCCCACGCTTCGTGGCCCCATATGCAGCTCCACCGACGGCCCCAGTGGCTGCGTTCGCACGCGCCCACCGCATCTATTTCGTCACACCCCTTACGTTTCGTGGCCCCATAGGGAGCTCCACCGATGGCCCCAGTGGCTGAGTTCACATGCGCCCACCGAGTCCATGTTTGGCTCGTCCCTCACACGTTTCGTGGCCCACAGGGAGCTCCACCGATGGCCCCAGTGGCTGCGTTCGAATGCGCCCACCGCACAAATGTCGGCACGCTCCTTGCACGTTTCGCGGCCCCATAGTGAATTCCACCGACGGCCCCAGTGGCTGCGTTCGCATGCGCCCACCGCGCCCATTTTTGGCATACCCCTCACACGTTTCGTGGCCCCAAAGGGATTCCACCGACGGCCCCAGTGGCTGCGTTCGCATGCGCCCACCGCGCCTTTTTTTTGGCACACCCCTCACACGTTTCGTGGCCCCAAAGGGAATTCCACCGACGGCCCCAGTGGCTGCGTTCGCACGCGCCCACCGCATGTATTTCGGCACTCCCTCACACGTTTCGTGGCCCCATAAGGAGCTCCACCGACGGCCCACGCACCGATTTTTTTCCACGCCCCTCACACGTGTTGTGGCCCATGGGGATCTTCACCAACAACCCCAGAGGCTGCGTTCGTACGCGCCCACCGCACCCATTTCAGCACGCCCTCACACGTTTCGCAGCCCCATAGGGAGCTCCACCGACGGCCCCAGTGGCTGCGCTCGCACGCGCCCACCGCGTTCGCATGCGCCCACCGCGCTTATTTCGGCACACCCCTCACACGTTTCGTGGCCCCATAGGGAGCTCCACGGACGTCCCCAGTGGCTGCGTTCGCATGCGCCCACCGCACTCATGTCGACACACCCCTCACACGTTCCGTGGTCTTGTACGAAGCTCTTCCGAATGCGGTGTATACAACGGCGGAAATCACAAGTGCATATGGGAGGGTCCTGCTACAGGCTAATGTTTTGGGGACTTTGTCTGTCTTCGAAATTGGTGTGATCTCTTGAGCCCGACGCCGGTTCGATGCAGAATCGACGCGCATCCGGCGTGGATTCGACTCAGATTTGACGAGGGTCCGACGAGGATTCGACGTGAATTCGACGCGGATTCGGCGCGGATAGCAGCGTGACGGGACAGACAAGGTCCCCCGTCCAGGCAACATGATGTTGTGTTGGTGCGATCTTCGAGCGCCCCCTGGAGCAGATTCATCCCAATCGGACGCCGACGCACATTCCGATTATTCCAGAATTCTGTATTCGATGTTGATTGATCTCTACGATATTCAGGACGCGTGTTAGCCCAGGGTGTGTTTATCCCGTCAGTTCCACCGATAGTACGCTGTGAAGCTTGTGTCGGCCCTCGCCACGTTGCCTGCGTGGAATTAGAAGGTTCTGGTGGATAATCACACGTTGACGATAACACACGTTTCGAAGATCATCGACCATCTTGCCAGGACATTTGGTGATAGTGAAGAACAGGCTGCCTGACCAGTTCAAGAGTCGACCGTGCCACCCGCCGCTGACCGAGGACGAAATCAAGCACGGCCCAGGTGGGGCTGGGTGGGTGTGGGGATGAGTTCATTATTCCGAGGCTGGGATTCATACATACTTTGGTTTGGGGCTGCTCGAGGTGCCCTTGGTCCAATGTGCCCCCAGCTTTTCGCTCCATGTTGGTCCCTGTGCCTCGCGAAGAGTGCTCTCTGGAGGCCGTGGGGACATCAATGCAAATCCTGGGGACACGTTGGGCCAGGGGCACTCATACGTTCAACCCGCATGGTAAGGATGCGCGACTTTCCAAGGGTACCCTTGTATCATTCCCCTTCGGCCCGTCCTTGGCCGCTTTCGCTGGCCGCGCCCAGCTCGCAAGGTGTCGACATGGCCTTCCAATGTCCTTGCATCCTTATCGTGCGTCCGCATTATGCGAGTTGACTGTTGCAGCGCCCGACCTGCGGCTCTCGATCCGCGCCAGGGGGACGCCCCACCTCAGCCGGCAGCCCCCCCACCCACGCTTACGGTGGGCGGACCGAGGTCTAAGATCGGAGCAGGTTCGGGGAGGGTGCCTTCGAATGTTGTTCGTGCTCGTGTGATGTTCTTGTGCCTCCTGGGGGAAAGTGCCCTTAGATGTGCTGTGTGTTTTGGCCGGCGGAGGGTCTTGTGTTCTTGTAAGGTGTTCCTCTGCCCCAGGTCTGGCCGTATTATGTAAGACAACTATCGGTATCTACCGCCTGGAAGACTGTTTTTCCTGGACCTTGGGAGGCGGTGGATTTGGATAGATTCGATTGTGCGCACCTGAGGGGGCAGACATCGCCGCTCCACGTTTTTTGGACGCGTGGGGACCATGGGAGGCCTGGGGAGGAAGAGGAGGGCAATCGAAATGGTCCCAGAGGGCGAGAGGGGGGGGTCTAAGACGGCCCCAGAGGGCCCCCAAAGATTACAAAAATTGCCCAAGAGGGCCCTAAGAGGGCCCGCAAGCTGCCCCCAGGGGCACCCGAAGGTGTCGAAAACGACGGGCGAAACGTAAAAAGGAGCTACACGAGTTAGTTGCGGGGCCTCGGAAGGCCTTCAAGGGACCCCTTGGGCGCGCCCAAGACGGCTCAAGAGGGATCCAAAAGGGCGGCCAGACGGCCCAAGATCGGACCGAGAGGCCTTCATGACGGCTGGAGGCGACTTCGAGATATTCCGACGTGGCCGGGGAGGCCCCAAGAGTGCCACAAGAGGCCCCACGAAAGCTCCAAGAGGCGCAAAGAGAAGCCCGAAAAGGCGAACATCATCAACATTTACCTGGTGTTTGAAGGCTCTTGGCAGCCTTGAGTTTTCGGTTCAACAAACAGGCTTCGGATGGGTCCGAGACGGCTCCAGAGGACCCCAGGGGCTGACCAAATGAGCCCAAGAGGGCTTCTAAGAGGCTTCAAAAAGTGTCCGGGATGGCTTCCGGAGAGGTCCCAAACGGCGCCTGGGGGGCGTCCAGAAGTCTCCCGTGCAACGGCGTATTTCAGTTGAGGGCACAATGGCGGCCAGCGGACGCCCCGAGCTGATGGTCGTCGTATACGTCGAGATCGTCGTTGCGATCGTCTTCGTAGCCGACATCGCCGTAGTTATATATATACACATACATACATATATATGTGTGTATATATATATATATGTATACACATATATATATATATATATATACACATATATATATATATATATATATATAATATTACAAGCCCGACCCTCACCCCCCAAAAAAAAGCTTGACCCCCGGGATCTGGGGTTCTCGGGCTCCCTTGGACGTCCTTGGAAAAGGTCACCCGGCTTTCCGGGTCTCCACAAACGCCTTGCCAACAGACCCAGAGCGATCCGAGGGGTCATCAGAAAGGCTCAAGGCGGCCCCCATACAGCACAAGAGCGCTCCAAGAAGGACTCGAATTGCGTCAGGACGGCCCACAAGACCCCGAAGGCAGCCCAAAAAGCTTGCCAAGGGGCCTTCAAAGCACACAAATCGTCCCATTTCCTTAGTAAAACTTGCAATTTATAGCATATTCGCCTTTCGGATTTCATCAGCTTTCAAGACGGTTTCAAAGCCCCCGAGATCGCCTCAAGACGCTCCAAAAGGCCCCCTAGAAAGCTTCAAGACTGCCGAGCGGGGCCCCACGATCGCCCACGAGAGCCCCAAGACAGCCCATAATGCAACCAAGAGGCCCCCCAAGGGCTCCCAGCACAGACCCAAAAGGGCCATGGGAGGTCCCCGGAAGTGCCCAAGATGGGTCCAAAGGGGGCTCCAGCAGGCCCAAGCTCCCAAAGACGGCCCAAGAAGGCCCCAGGACGGCCCATGAAGGCGCCAAAACGGCCCACGAGGGCCCCGAAAACACTCCCACGATGTTTCCGAATGCCAACATAAAGACCCCCAAGCAGCACAAAAAGCTTTCCAAGGGGCCTTTGAAGCACAACAATCGTCCCATTTCCTTAGAGAAACTCACAATTTTAGCATATTCGCCTTTCGGATTTCATCAGCTTTCAAGACGGTGTCAAAGCCCCCGAGATCGCCTCAAGACGCTCCAAAAGGCCCCCTAGAAAGCTTCAAGACGGCCGAGCGGGGCCCCACGATCCCCCACGAGAGCCCCAAGACAGCCCATAATGCAACCAAGAGGCCCCCCAAGGGCTCCCAGCACAGACCCAAAAGGGCCATGGGAGGTCCCCGGAAGTGCCCAAGATGGGTCCAAAGGGGGCTCCAGCGGGCCCAAGCTCCCCAAGACGGCCCAAGAAGGCCCCAGGACGGCCCATGAAGGCGCCAAAACGGCCCACGAGGGCCCCGAAAACACCCCCACGATGTTTCCGAATGCCAACATAAAGACCCCCAAGGCAGCCCAAAAAGCTTTCCAAGTTCAAAGCACAAAAGTCGTTTCATTTCCTCAGTAAAACTTGCAATTTTAGCATATTCGCCTTTCGGATGTCATCAGCTTTCAAGACGGTGTCAAAGCCCCCGAGATCGCCTCAAGACGCTCCAAAAGGCCCCCTAGAAAGCTTCAAGACGGCCGAGCGGGGCCCCACGATCGCCCACGAGAGCCCCAAGACAGCCCATAATGGAACCAAGAGGCCCCCCAAGGGCTCCCAGCACAGACCCGAAAGGGCCATGGGAGGTCCCCGGAAGTGCCCAAGATGGGTCCAATGGGGGCTCCAGCGGGCCCAAGTTCCCCAAGACGGCCCAAGAAGGCCCCAGGACGGCCCATGAAGGCGCCAAAACGGCCCACGAGGGCCCCGAAAACACTCCCACGATGTTTCCGAATGCCAACATTCATTGATTTTGCTCCCATGACATTTCACATTGTGATCCAGTCGTTGAAGGTCTCGTGGCATGCAGCGAAGATGCCCGAGGATGCCCCGTACGGTTTGCATATGCATGTTCATACCCTTTACGCATAACAATTTATATGTACAAATGTACGCTGTATACAACATACAGCAGTGTAATTATATTGTATACACCTAGACATTTATACGGAACGTGCATGCGCGCGCGCGTGTATACATGCATGCGCGCATGTACGCACGCACGCATCCCGCTTGCGTGCAGAACTCAAAGAACGAAGGTGCATGGCGCGCAGCGCCAATGCAGTCATGTATGTATATATACATATATATGTATATATATATATATATATGTATATATATATATAGATATGCGGCTGCATTCTAAACGGACTCTTTTGGGAGATGGCGCAGGCCTGGCCCGTGGCAGCACCCGCGCCTCTCTACCTCTCACCTCATTGTGCGTTGCCCTTTGCGCGCGCGTCTCTGGGGGGCATCCCGAGTTGCAGTGCGCGCTCTGTCTCTCAGGGGGTGGGTATAGAATATTGGCCCTATGGTACGTCCGTCTTTCTCAGATATTATCAGCCATTCTTGCTTTGCCTTCTGGGCCACGTGACCATCGTTGACAGCTCCGGTTGTAAGCTACACTGGCGACTTTGCATACGTGGCTAGTTCCCCGCATTGCGTCGGTGGTAGCGCCCACGCTTGCCAACGCGTTGATTTTACAATGTTTCTTGCATGGGAGGGATATATCAGCATTGCCCCGTTGTCAAGGAACTTTTGTCACTTCTCCTCCACTGTCCCTTTGCTTTCTCCATTCGTATATTGCCTTTCTATTTCTCATTCGTCTGGCCGCCCCTCAGTTTTGCTTTGCCCTGGGCACTGCGGCCGTCGTTGTTTGGCCCAGAGTGCGTTTGCAGTTAAATTTCTTCGCTTTCCCTCCCCGAGCAGCGCCCCTAGGGACAGCCCCCGAGCGAGGCCCGGGCGGGAGACCGTGGCCTTCCCGACCCGTGCCTCTTCAGGACAGCCTCCGACCGCGGATGGCAGAATTTGACCGTGGGCACCCCGCGCGGGGCATGACTCCGATTGTCGAGGGTATCAGACAATTGTTTATCGTTCCCTTTGTTTCCTCTATTTCGTGTTTGCGCGTTCTCTCTCTCTCTCTTTCTCCCTTTCTCTCTCTATCTCTCCTTTCTCTCATGTTCTCTCTCCCCCCCTCTCTGTCTCTCTCCCTGTCTCCCTTTCTCTCTATGTTGTGTTATCTCTTTCTCCCTCTCTCTATTTCCGTATATGTGGTTATGCATGTATATGTTTGTTGTGTTTTTCTCTCTCTCTCTCTCTCTTTCTCTCTGTCTCTCTCTCTCTTGCTTTTTTGTTTTCTCATAGTATGTTTGTTGTTGTGTCTTCTCTATATTGTTTCCCCTCTCTCTTTCTTGTTCTCTCGCTCTCTCTCTCTCCCTCTCCCTCTCTCCCTCTCTCTCTCTCTCTCTCCCCCCCCATCTCTCTTTATCTCTTTCTGTGTGTTTATCTGTCTATTGTTGCTGGGTTGTTGTATGATACTTCTTTGTGTTAATAGATTTCTCTCTCTCCTTCTCTCTCTGTCTTTCTTTATGTATCCCTCTCTCGTTCTCTTTCTCTCTCTCTCTCTCTTTCTCTCTCTCTCTCTCTCTGTCTCGCTCTCTCTCTCTCTCTTTCTCTTTCTCTCTCTCTCTCTCTCTCTCTCCTTTTTTGTAGTTATCCCTCTCTCTCTCCCTCT